ACATTTACTAAATTCTAGTGGTCCTGGAATGCATCACGCATTCTATTAAAATACTCCTTTAAATATTAACAATTAGTGTTCAAATCTCCAACTAATACAATATCCTTTAGCTGTCAGGGGGTTTAAATAAACCTATCTTTGATCCACGTTCCACTGAATTACACATAATGGAGGTATGCAGTCACAACATTAGTGGGTTAAATGTCAAAATGGCATTACAGTACAAAATAGTTTAAAAAAAAAAATCAGCTAGTCATATGTTTCTGTTTGTGGAATTATGGCTCACAAGCAATCCACTGAATTACTGTAATCCTTGTTCTTGCACCAAAGACATTATCCAAATCCCACCTTAATCCTGACTGGTTCATTTACTCCAAATTTCTCAGGTGTGGGTTAAAAATCCACTGCAAAGTGCCCACTGTCCTATGACATCCTGTTGCAAACTGGAAAACACATAGTACTTTATTTAAACATTCCTTAATTGCTACATTTTCCTAGACCACATTAATATATATTGTGTGTGTATATATATAGATAGACACATATAACATGTACATATATACACACACAAACATATATACACACAAACACACACGTACCTAGGATAATAGCACACCGACATAACATTTACTCTATACAAGTATTTGCCAAGAAAAAAAATAGGGCATTTCCTCCACCACTTATTCACAAGCTTATGGTTGTTTTGCTTTTTAATCCTTGTGTCCCTGATAAAACAAAATGCATGGTTAAATCACAAAACTAGATTTTTCTCACTTCAAATTTTATGAAGGCATCAGGCACTTTTGATTACTATTGGTGTGTACAAATATAGCAACATCTTTTTTTTTCTGTTTTGTTTTATATATATATATATATATTTATATATATACTCTACTGTGTCTTCTTTGCTCAGATAACTTATTTGTGAAATCTTTGGTCCTTGAGCATACTTAGTTTGCCACAGCTGTTCTCCCTGCATTCTCACATTTTAAAAATGGGAGGCACGCACACAGCTGGAAATAATGGACTTTGCCATCATACGTGTTTCCGTTTTTCTAACTGTACCAATCTACTACTGTTCATTTGGAGCAAGCTGTTTCTGATAAAGCATTCTCTATTCAAGCAAGCTATACATTCTACACTGTCAATCCATAGACGGCACTTGCTGCAAGCCCCAAATGCAGTAATTCCAATATACATTTTAATTCAGCTTATCTCTGCTTTATGCCTCTACTTTTAATTCCTGAATATATATATATAATTGTTTTTTTGAGTTTTTTTTTTTTTGTTGGTTTTTTTGTTTCTTTCATATTCTCCCTTTTGCAGATCCCATTCTAGAGTAAGAATAAAAACAAAAGAAATAAGGCTTTCCCATCTTCTCTATGCCAAAGCTATGGGAGCAGATACTGCCAACCCATATTGTCATCAAGCATTCCTCCCTCACTTATCTCAGGGGAAGCTGGTTGCTTTTAATGACAGGCCTCTTGTGCTCTGGGTAGGATCCAATTATTTTGGGGTTCTTTCTAGATCATGCTCCCATTGTTTATTAGAAGAACCACAAGCTTTCACCAAGCTTGAAAACCAGAGCAGATCATCATTGCACAAAATACCCCATTTCAAAGGGGCTCATTGCCCCTTTCTACGCATTAGAAAAGGTTCTCCCCACTGGGTCTACTAATTTTGATCCTTAATTACAGGGCAGCCAGGTAGAGTACGTGTGCTGCTGGCATGGGAACACTGTCTGCACCTGGGCAATATAGTAATTGCTGAAGTTGGCATCTGCTACGTATGGGGCTGGCTGGTAATAACAGGTGACATTGGCCACATTGGGGATGATATTCTGCTCGGCTAGGACCCGGATGGCCAGCATGGTGATCAGATTCAGCGTCTGTCTCCTCTCATGTCCCATCAGGCACACTGTGCTCTCGTTCACCACACCATGAAGGGTCATGAGATAGTCATACTTGCGGTCCTCTAATCCCACAAAGTGGTTCTGCAAGTAGGACTCCAGCTTCCTCTGCTGTTCTCCAATGTCTGAGAAGTCAATGAAAAACCTCGAACACATGTATCTCTGCAGGGACTTAATCTCGGATTCAGAGGCAGCCCTAAAGCCCCTTACCAAAAGGTTGCAGTACTTCAGCAAACCGCCTCCTCTGATCTCTTCGGGGTTTCTGGTAGCAATGATCTTGTTGCAGAGGTGATCAAAAGCTTCTTGGAAATCCCCATAGACGCTCTCGCCGATGATGGTCGGGTGAAATGTCTCAGTCATCGGATTCTCTGAGCATTCATAAAAAAGCAGCAGGGAGTCCAGCTTGATTTGGAAGGAATCAACACTGAATTCAAACTGCCGCCTCAGAGAGTCCACGAACTTCAGCTCCACATTCTTGCCACTGTTGTTGGACAAGGAGATGAGACTCCACCGGTCAGAATCATTGCATACTTTGACCATTTTCTGCACGTAAGCTTCCTACAAGTGCAAAGAGAATATGAGCAAACCCCTTGCAGCCACTTGCCACCTCTACCCAGCCCTAGCAGTGCATGAAAGGAGCCTGCAGGTAGGGACCGGAGGGAGCCTGCAGTGCACGGGAGCACTGTCCTTGCACAGGGATGACATGGGGATGTCCTGTTGGGGCTGTCGTGCAAGAGAAGTCCTTGGCACCTCTGCTTCTTTCAAGCACTTGTAAATACATATGCATGCAAACCCGAGGGTGCGCATGCCAAACAGCTGTGCACCCGCACACAAAAGGTCACTGCTATTATATCTTTTTTTTAAAAAACAGTTTCCACTTCCCTTCCCACCCTCTCAGCTCCCCCGAAATACTATTACTAATAATAATAATAATAATAAAAAAAAACCACTCAGCAAATGTTCTCTCTCTTCAACCCCGTTCCTTCAGCGCAGCTTCCAAACTGCCCCTCTGAAAATCTCAAAGGCATTTGGCACGCAGCCTTAATAAACCGGAGCGAGCTGTCTATGCGGAGAGGGAACACCGCCGGGGCACTGAGACAGACAGCGATGTGAGCAGAGCCAGCGGCAGCCTCCTGCTCGCCTCCCACCACCTCGGGTTTGGGACAGCGGGCACCGCACCACCGGGGCATCCGGGCACGCCGGATGGGTCAATGCTCCCGGCAAACTACATGGCTCCGAGGAAGGAGAGCCGAGGAGCACCAGACAGGGCACCTTCCTGCAAGCTCAGCTTCCAAAGGTGGGGTAATGTCACCAGCGGGTGTCAGGTGGGCACGGACGGGGCGCCCCGCACGCCCTGCTTGCAGCGGGCGCTACACCTGCGCGCTCCGCACGCTCAACGAGCAGCTCTGTGGGCTTACCTTGAGGGTGAGCGGCGTGATCTTCTCCTTATTCACCCCCTCGGGCAAGAAATCCAAGAGGCAGTCCAAGACCACGTCCTTCACAGTCTGAAACTCGGCTTCCCCTTTGAGGTCGGCGCAGAAGATGAGGTCCAAGTCCTTGTAGCCCAGGCCGCTGTCTTGGTGCAGGACGTGGCTGGCGGCCGAGCCGTTGAGCCGCACGTCCCGCAGCCCGATGCCCTTCTCCTCCAGCCGGCTCCGCACTACTTTGACGATCTGCCGGGGCTGCATGGCCAGCGTGGGGAAGTTGCCGCGGCCGTGGATGGGGATGGTCTCGCTGAGGATGCGATCCAGCCGCTGCACTTGCTCCCAGCTCAGTACGTTGCAGTGCGCGCTCTCGCAGCCTCCCGCGTAACCCCCGCCGGCCTTCTCATCGTCCGCCATGGTGCGCGGCCTCCGCGGGCTGCCCGGCCCCGCTGCGGCTCCTCGCTGCCCTTCCTCCGCGCCTGGCAAGAGAGGAAAAGCGAGCGGTCAGCGCCGGCAGCCCCCCCCGCCCCCGAAGCGCCGGGGGCACGCACCCACGGCTCCGGTTAAAAAAGGGAAAGAAAAAATAAAAATGAAATGAACGCGGGAGACGCGGTGCGGGCAGGGGGAGCGCCCGACCTGCGGAGCCGCCGCTGCCCTCGCCCCCCGCTGGGGCTGAGGCCGCCCCGCGCTGTCGGTGAGGCCGCCCCGCGCCGCCCCGCTCGCCGCCGCCGTCTCCGGAGCTTTCGTAGTTCTGCCCGGGGAAGGTCCCCAGTAGTTTTTATACGGGGTTTCTCCGCTCTTCCGGGGCTCCGAGTCACGGCGCCCGCGTCCCGCCCCCTCCATCTGCATGGCCGGCCTCGCCGGTGCCCCCGGCACGCCCACCCCGTGCGCACCCACGGGCCGCCCCGCGGCTCGGCACGGCTCGGGCACGGCGCGGTTTGGCACCGCGCGGCGCAGCGCTGCGCAGCCTCCCTCCCAGCTGGCTCTGGCTGCTGGCCGAGGGGGGAGGCAACAAGTGTACCCCTCCGCGGGGCAAGGTGCGCGCCCACGGCTGCCAGGCATTCCCTTCTTATTATTAGATTCCTGATTTTTAACCCCCTTCACCGCCCCCGCGGTGTTCCCTTACGCTCCAGGCGCAGCCGGCTCCGTAGCAGAGCGCCGGAATGCGGCTCGGAGCTGCGCGCTGCCCGACGCGATTTTCGGAGCCTTTGCGAGGAGGAGATCCCCCGAAGCGCTGTAACGGGGCAGCGCCGTGCATAGGGAGAAGCTGCCTGAAAAGTGCGGTGATTGCGGAGGGGTGGGAAATATTTAACACATACGTGTAATTTTATTATTTTTTTTTAATGTTCAATTTGAATAATGTTATTTGCCTGGTTTTCACCTGCTCCGAGAGCCCAAAGCGCACGCCTTATCCGATCCCGCTGCGCGCAGCCACCGGCGCTGCACGGCTGCTATGCGCCCCAGCGCCTCCTGCGCCCCCCGCGCAGCGCACGCGCAGGTTCCGCGGGGAGAAAGCGGCTGCGGAGGGAGGCGGGGGGGGGGGGGGAAGCGTGCGGGCGTTGCGTCACCGCTCGGGGCTTCGTGACGCGCGGCGCGTGGGGCCAATGAGGGCGCCCGGCGCTGTGACGCGCTGCCGCTCCGCGCGGGCGCTCCGCCAACTTGGGGGAGGAAAGGGGGGGATAGGAGGGGGGTGATGAAGATGGAGCGTACGGCGACCCTCCTCAGCTTTAGCTCCTCTCATTTTAGATCAACCCATCACACCCCGTGGGGGTAGGGTTTGTGTGCTGCCGTACCCGCAATGTGCGTGCACCGAACAGGGCGAGCACATGCGGCGCCTCCCGCCCAAAAAAGTCCCGAGGGTGCGTCCGGTGCCGCTGACCCCCGGTACAACGGGGAAGGCCCCGCCGACCGCCCGCCGCCGCCGCTCGCTGCCGCGTGACAATGGCGCCCCCTCCCGGGCGGCGAGCGCTGCAGGGGGCACCGCCGCGCAGAATGGCCTCGCTTCCCGGCAGGGTTTGGGGGTGTTGTGGGAGTAAGGACTCGAAAAGTACGAGTTGCAGCCCGCGATCTCCTTCGATCTCCTTCTGTCCCCACCCGGGGAACCGCGCGGAGCCATTGGTGTACTGGGGAGCCCTGTGCCTGCTGGAAAGTGAGAGGCCAGGAGAACGGTGCAGAGTCCTGTGCCAAGGAGGTTATTAAGAGGGAAAAAAAAAAAAAAAAGAAGAAAAAAAAAAAAAGAAGAAGCAGGAAGCTTTTAAAATCGGGATGTGTGTACACATGAGAGCAGGCTGAAAGCAGGAGCGCTGTATCTCATATCCGCTGGCGGGGCCTGGCAGCCATTAAAATAAACATGCTCAGAGGGGCAGCGGCAGCCTGCTGAAGGCTTCTGGCCTCCCAGCACCCCAAGGCCTTGGAGCCACGGCCTCCCTGGGCCCGAGTGTCCAAGGGCAGCCTCGTATGGAGGGAACCATGGGGGACACAGCACCGCCAGGCTGGTCAGGGCCCTGTACTTTGCCCAGGAGAACCAAAGCGCTCAGTGGCACCTGTGTTCATCTGCTAGAATGAGTGCTGCCCTTGGCCACAGGCCAGCTGGCAGTGGTTGGAGAGCTGACCCAGAAGGGATCCGAGCTGCCCCTTTATTCCAATTTAAACTAGGCCATCCCTGAGAGTCCGAGCAAGGACTGGCTAGTGACAGGCAGCGTTTAATTTGACTTCCCAGCATGTGGCAGTGAAACTTTAGCAGTATTAATTATAGCAGCGCCACAGAGCATTAGGTAGGCTGGTAGGATTTGATGCTATTTTATATGCATCTTATTTCTTTTCTCTTTCAAGTTGTTACCATTTGCAAACTTCAGAAGGAGGGTAGGCAGAAGCTCATTCTGGAGAATACCACTCTGGTGAAGGAATAGTAGGAGTAACACTTTTCAGTTCAGAAAGGTACATAGGATATTCATCATCATGCTCTTTTATATATATATAAACTATGAGTTATTTGCATCTATGTCAGATTCTTTTTACATCTCTTCCCCTAATTAATGGACACTAGATCAAGGCTGTATTTTCTTTATTAAGCTGCCTACATACCATGGATAAAGTGGAAATAGATCTTTACCAGTGCAGGCTGTTTTTTAGAGTAGAGGAGTATTCTGTATTTTTTACTCTTATGTTGCACTCGAATGTGGAATTTTTGTTAAGTCATTGAAAACTGTAGAATGAAATGTAATTAGGGTGCATTATGTTGTGAGAAATTCAAAAATATTTGTATGAGTTTCAGAAATCATTCTAATTATGACTGATCCTGGTGATTCTCCAGCGAATAAAAGCATTAATTCAGCTCATGAAAATGCACTGTGCTTTTAATGACAAATAAGTATTTTTTGAAGGAAAAGGTTTTGTTACTTTTAATTGTCAATGTGAGAAGAAATTCTTTGACAGCATTTGGGTGGGATTACTCATGCAGGCAGTTTGCATTGCCCAAGTGGTTAATGGGAAGTTAAGATGTACGGCATGAACTCTGCCTTTCTGTAAGTCCACACCAAATTGCTCAGTTAATCCCTTCACCCCAGCAGTGTTCTCCTTCTTGCTCCAGAACAAAGGAAGATTAGCAATACTGTGTTTCTGTGTGTGTTCGCGTCGAATGCTTGGCTGAAAGTCTTCAGTGTGAGAACTGCTGCACGGAACCAAACAGACTTTCCAGGTAAATTCTGCTGAATTGAAGAATTCTCTGTGTTTTCCTGATTGAACTCCATGCAAGTTGCCCATAACATCATCCTGGTTCCATTTTGCCCACTACATGCTATCTAGAACAGGAACATGCACTCTTTTGATGGAAAAAAAAAAAAAAAAAAAAAAAGCAAAAAACTTTTGACTCTTCATCTGTGTCTCCCAGAGCTTCTACTCAGAAGCAGTGGCAGCAGGGCTGGAGATGGAAGCAGCTGCCTAGAGGCTTTGGTTTCGCACATCCAAGTTTTGCCTGTATCTGGGACTGAGCATCCCCATCCTGCACATTCCCCCACTTGATGGGTTTAAGTGGAAGGAACAGGGTTTGCAGTCCATGGCTGCTCTGTTAATGCAGCCAAGGTACAAATGGATGGATTGACAGTCAGGGAATTCACCCCTGAACAGCAGTGCCACTTCAGGCACAGAACTAGTGTTAATTCAGCCAGAGGTATTTGCTTTCGTTAAGAACATCAGTCTCATCACCCTGTATTAACAGTCTGGGGATGATTTTACAGAAAGACATCCAGAACGAGTCAGAGAAGTCTAAAAACCTCTTTCAGAAGTTTAGAAGGAAGATGCAGCAAAATGTTATCCCTACAGTGTCACAAAAACTTTTGTAATATCATTTCATATAGAGCCCAGGAGCACTTAAAGCATTAAAAATTGTTTTCTGCTTCTTAAAGGTGGAAAGATGGAGCTGGGCAGCAGTCACTTGCAAACTTAATTGTGTTGGCACCCAATTTCTTGCTGGAAACAAGATTGTTCCTAACTGTCCTTGATCCAGCCAACATATGGATTTCTCAGCTCACCTCCAGATTTCTGGAGAGTTCAGGCCACAAAGTCCTCCTCTCCACATCCCTAAGGGAGGCAGCTTCCATCCCATTGCCTCCATAACACAGGTGGGCAGCCAGCAGCATGCAGAGCTGCGGGGAGATGCCAAGAGGACATCAGCCACCAGAATGAGGAGTTCAAAGCACACTTGGCTGGGAAGAGACTTTCCTTAGCAAAATGACTATTCATACCTTTGACAATAGAACAAGACATCGTACTTTCAAAGTAAGGTCTAAGACCTGGGTGTCTATAATGGACATACCTGCAAGCCTTTCCAAACCATTATTCGTTCATCTCTTTTCCCAAAATTAGTCTAGGTAAAGCTTGAGCATGGGTGTGGGGGCAGAATTCAAAAGCTGGTTTGTTTTGGTTTTGCTTCAGTTTATTTTTGGAAGAGCATTCAAGCCTGATTTTAAAATTCTTTTCAGAGACTGTATTAAAAAAATTTCTAATACCTTAATGTTCCATATATTTTATTGCCAACATTTATTTCCATATGTGATACCAGTAAAAATTACTACATCTTATAACACAATGGCCTATAGTAAGAATTTGTACTGGAGTTAGCACTGACTACTCAACACCAAAGCCCTTTGAATGCAATGAAAATTAGAGATCTCTAGGAAATAGTCTTTTCAAAATTAAATAGAAGAAATTTTTGTGCTTTGAAAGTACTGCAGCCCTGTTAGTTTTGTTTTCCTTCTGCCAGTTTTTACTGGAAAGATGTTTTACTCATCCTGGGAAAAATGTCAACATTTGGACTAAATGCTGTGTTGTTTTGAAAAGGTGCAGTTTAGAGCAGGCCAAATTAGCAGATTTTTCTGATGAGCCTGCCAGAAGCTTTTTGCAACTCTGCTGAGAAAGTGCTTGTTAAATGGAATAGCAGTGTTCAACACGTGCATTGTTGCAGTAGCTACAGGCCAAGTCGGAGGTTGGGGCACCCAGCCACTCATCTAACAGAAGTCTCCTCCTAAGGAGCTCATGGACTAAACAGAGCAATATCTTTTATCATAGTACCACCAGAATTTGCTCCCAGAGAAAGAATCGTTTGGATCACCTGTTGCTTGGAAATACTGGCCCCTGGGGATCTGAATGCAATTAAAATGAGTTATCCAGGTGCACCTGTTCAGCTGGGAGCCAAGGATAAGCCTTTCTTCTCTTCAAGTGGCCGTATTTTTCATCACTATGGGAGAGCCTTGAAAGCTTCAGTTCTCTGCCCACATGGGAAAGGCAAAACCCGATGTTTCGTGACTCATACATTCATGCAATCCCAGTTGCATATGACTGATAGGATTGTATGCTGATTTTACTTTTCCAGGTTTTGTTTATCCTACAATGCATTAAGCTCTTGTGGGAATACTCCAGTGGATTTCAGCATTCTGTATTTTCTTCAAGAGATATGGAGATATGGAGAAAAATGTCATTTTCTTTTTAAACAAACTGTTCTGCATTTGGAGCAGTGAGTTGCATCATGAAAACACAAAACACGAAGTAACAAAGATAGTTTTAGCATTTTTTTCAGAAAGAATTGGTTTTGCAGACTCAAAGCTATAATTTAGTTTTACCTGCTACAAAACAAAAGCTGTCTTACCACACAGTTTCACTGTTAAGTATATGTCTCCTGATGGAGTTTGGGCACCTTTCAGTCTTGATAAATGTTTTATAAATGTAGGAAAGTCCTGCAGAAAATGTCTTCCATTACCTAGTTACCGTTACCTTTACAAATGCATATGATGTTTCTAGTTGGGATGCATGCTTATTATATAGAATGTGTTTGCTCACACTGATTTTCTTGGTGCGCATTGAAATTATATATATTTCTGAGGAGGCAATTCTTGGCAGCTATCAAAAGGTGAGATACACATATTCAGCGTTCTTCCTGTTTAAAGCTGCTAAATTTTCCAGGCAATATCCCATACCTTGCCCAATCTGACTACTGTAAGTAGTGGGCTGCTGTGGAAAGGAGGAGCCAAAAATGGTCTTTTTACAGCTGCACACACACCAACAACTAACACAAAATTGTCGTCACCAGATTTCACACAATCACCAGGGTTGGAATGGACCTCAAGGATCATGACTCTCCAACCCCCCTGTCACTTGCAGGGCCACCAACCTCCCCGTTTAATACTAGACCAGAGTAGAGTGGCTTCTGATCATCTGGAGTGGTATGAATGCTTCAGACCTTTGGGCTAGAAGCAAAGAATCAAAGTGTCTTGAAGACAGATGAATGAAGCCCAGTATCTTAGGGCTGTGCAAGAAGGGGCACATTCTAAACACTGAACAGTAATGGATCAAAAGGATATAAGAATCCTGATCCAAGGAAGCAAGCAACTGGAAGTTGCCACAATCTATTTGTGCATCCTAGGAGAAACAGAGGATTTCTGTTGGTCCCTGTTTGCTACCATTTGCAAACCACAGATTGTGTCAAACACCCTAGCCAGAAATAACCTTCCTGTTGTCCATGGGATGCCACTGTGCTGGACCAGTGTGCCCTGCTAGCGTACCCAGCTCCTAATGATGTCTTAGCATTTCCAAAGTTCACAAGGTTCCCATCAAGGCTGAGGTTGGCAGGGACTTCTGGCCCAGTCCAAGTAGAGATACCCAAAGCAGGGTGCTCCGGCCCACAT